AAGGAGTAAAGGCCAACTGTCACTTATTAATATATTGGAGCATTTATGGAGGTAGAAGCACAAGAGAACAGAAGAGCAAGCCTCCAGGATAGGGAGAAATGAGCTGAGGACCATGTGGGCCACCATGATAGACTGGAATCTGAAAGATCCCAAATGTGAGTCAGTCTTATTCACTCATCATTTCTCCCCTAGAGGATTTTTTGTGACATAAGCAATAACTCCAGAAACTGGGAGAAAGGCAGAGTTCTCATAATCTCTAGGAGTTTAAATCCCAAAGTGTTCCTAAACGGAGGACCTTAACTTACTTTTGGAATACCTAATATAATAGGTTAGCTATAGTAATAACTGCCTGCCCCAACCCAAGCCAACTCCTGATTTGAATAAAGAGATCTTTATTCTTAAAGATTTTCTTAAAGAGGAAATGATGACCCCTTTCTGAGGAGAGATATTTTTTATTTCATTCTCTACTGATTATATGTTCAAGAGTTCTAACCTGTAATCAGAATTTACAAGGCATGTGAATAAAGCAGAAATAAGTGCCCCATAATCAAGAGAAACTACAATCAATAAAAAGAGTCCCAGGGATGATGGAAATGTTGGAATTAACAGATAAAACTTTTGAAATAATTGATGCATACGTTGAATAATTTATGAGAAAACATAATCAAAATGAATGACAAGATAGAGAATTTTCAGCAAAGAAATGGAAATTCCCAAAAAAAAGAATCTAGTGGAACCTAACATGTTATCTAACATGTTATCTAACACACTTTTCTAAACCTGAAAAGTGTGTTAGATAACATGAAAATTTATTAGATGGGCCTGTTAGCATATAGGGCTCATTGAAAGAAAGGATCACTGAATTCTGGAATAAGACGATTGAAATCATGAAAATTATCCAAATTGAAACACAGTGGGGGAACGAAGCCCTGGGAGGAAGAAAGAGTATGAGATCTATGTGTTAATGTAAAATGGACTAAATATGTATAATTGGAATCCAGAAGGACTGTAGAGGAAATGAGTTTAAAAACTATTTGAAGAAATAATGGGCTAGGAATTTTCTTACTCTTGTTAACAAAGATTTTTAACCTCTAGACATTAAAATCTAAGCAAATCTCAAGAAGGAGACACATATACACACACATACATGCTACATACATACATGTAAAACCACATCTAGGCACATCTTAATTAAAATGAAGAAATTGAAACATAAAGAGAAAATTGCAAAAGCAGTCAGAGGGAAAAGAATGAACACTGAGGGAAATAACAGTAAGAATCATGCCTGCCTTCTCATAAGAAAAAAATGGAATGAAATCACTTTCTGAAAGAAAATGGCCATGAACCTAGATTTCATTACTCATTAAGAACATGCTTCGTAAGTGAATATCCACTAAAGACCTCTCAGGAAAAAAGCAGTCACCAGATTTTCACTATAAGAGATTGAACCAGGGGTTCATCTGCCTGGAGCAAAATCATTTCATTTGAAAGCCTGGACCTGCAGGAGAGGGTGAAAACACTAGGAAGGATAAGTATGTGGACAAACATAAAAGACTGTATTTTTAAAAATTCTCTAAAAGACTTGACTTTAAAACAAGTATACTGACAATATATTGTCACATTTATAACATAGAAGTATAAGCAGTAAGGGTAGTGAGGTAAATGTAGGAATACTGATTTAAGGTGCTTATATTGTCCTTTAAGAGGAAAATCCTAATTCATGGTATACTGTAATAAATTAAGGGTATATCTGTAATCTCTAGATTAATCATTAAAACTGTGAAGATGTATAGCTAAAAATCCATTAGGGGACATAAAATACAATAGTAAATATTGAATTATTCTAAAAGAATATAAAATAAAATGTAATATATGTGTAATATGAATTGTAATGCATTCTGCTGTCATATATAACAAATTAGAATTTTTTTAAATGCAGTAAAATAGTAAGATGGCAATGTGGTACACACCTGCAATCTCAGCTACTTGGGAGGCCACAGCAGGAAGATTCCAAGTTTGAGGCCAGCCTCAGAAACTTAGTGAGATCCTGTGTCAAAATAAAAAAATTTAAAAGGCTGGGGATGTAGCTTAATGGTAAATCACCCCTGGGTTCCATATCTAGTACTGAAAAAAATAAAAAAGCATAGCAAAATGGTAAACTTAAAGCCATACCATTAATTATTTTAAATGTAAATCATCTAAATGTTGAAAGGCAGAGATTCTCCGACTGGACAATACATCAGTAATATTTCTTGGCGGATTGATTTTTATTCATATTTTTTCATTTATTCATTTTAGAGATATTCTGTAATCTTAAGTTCATTTGGAAATTTTATAAATTTAAAATATTTCATGACAACTTTGACATTTTAACTATATTCCTGCACAATTAGTATTTTAATGACCATATGTATTTATAATGTAGAGTACAAATACAATTACATTTTCTTCATTTATTTCATGTTTTCCAGAAAATAATGTTCTTTTGAGAAACAGAACCAATAGGATATGTTTGTATATACGTGTATATATGTACACACACACAGAGAATGATTTACTTTAAGGAATGATGGAAACTGTCAAGTTCAAAATCTGCAGGCCAGAAAAGAGTTATAGTTCAAGTTCAAAAACGCAGTCTATCCACAGATTTCTCTCAGGGGAGGTCAGCGATTTTCTTAAGGTCTTAAAATAAGTGGATGAGGCCCACTTACATAATGAAGGCCCATCTACTTTCTTGGGGTGTACTGATTTAAATATTAATCCCATCCAAAAACAAAATACCTTTAAAGAAATATCTAGAATCATGTTTGATCAAGTATCTGGGTACCACAGCCTACTCAGGTTGACATGTAAAATTGATCATTATAGCAAGCTACTTAATATGAGCTTTCACTTATTATACTTTACTAAAAGTGAAATTGAGATACAAATGCAGATTTTTAAGTAAAATTTCCTTAAAATAGGAAGCTATTTTAGGACATTTTCCCTAAGCTTATTTCGTTTTGAATATATATTACTGCAATCTTGGATAAAAACATTTCCCAACAATATTATTTCCATTTGCCACCTAAATTACAACTAAGGTTATAACTTTGGGTAATCTACTTTTTAAAATTCAAGTTTCCAACATATTCTTGCCTTGCAAATGAAACTAAAATATGTTGTTTTTATCCTTGTGATTGTATAAGCTAAGGATATTCATTTGGGGGTTTTGTTTTTATCATTTAAAGTTACTTTTTATTTCCAACTAAAGTTACTTTCTAATTGGATAAGAATTTTAAAATTTATAATCAGCTTAGGTCAGTTTTATAGCATTCAGATTACAATAGTGAGAACACACATGTAGATGTTGCTAATTCCTGAACCCCATGGTGTGAGCCCTCTCATTTGAAAGCTTCTGGTGCCAGACTGCTTTCAGTGGTTACAGCTAGGAGGGTTGCAGGCATCAGGGCTGGGGAAGTGGGAATTTCACCAATTGTTCTGTGTACCTCTGTATTATTAAAATCTTTGAACAAGAATCTTCATTACTTGGGTCTTGGGTCTGGAGATGTAGCTCAGTGGTAGTGCTTGTGATTAGTACCTATGGAGCCCTGAGTTCTATCCCCAGCATTAAAAAAAAAAAAAAAATCTGCACTATTTGAATATTTTCTAAAATGTGTTACTTGTCTTTTTTTTTTTAAGCTTTTCACTCAAAGGTAATGTTCCTCTATGATTTAAAGTCTTTCCATTAAAATTACCCTAAAGACTTACTACATTTAAGATAGAACCCAGTTCATTTACTGTATAGTATTTTTTCAAAACAGAATATCTCTGTTTTATTAGACTCAATCATAATTTATTCATCTTATAGCTAGGTAGTGAGTGCTAGATAGCCTGTAAATAAATATTAGTTGATTGGATTAAGGTAGCTAGTAGTTTATACCTCACTGTCTAACAATAATAATTGAAAGAAATTTTTAAAACAAAACAAAAGCTATGTTTTTAAAAAATGTTTCATGGTACATTGTTCATTTTGAATATATTCTTTCAAGTTATAAAAAGCAATTGCTTGTGTTGATCTCACTGAATCCCTTTTCATACTTCATGTTAAGTGCTTGTGAAACAGAGGAACTAATATTTTGTTTGAACTAGGAATTTTGCTAATTGCTATTAACAGACATTGGAGTTCTCACTTCTAACAGGTCTTGTATGTGACAGCCTTTAGTATTATTTAAACAAACTCTTCTGATATCCTCACTCTTATGTAAGTTTGCTAATGGACAGAGATTGGAAACTAAATGAGACCAGTGCCTGTGTTCATTTTTAACTTGAGCTTGACTTTGAACCAGTATCTTACAAATGAGATACAATGTGTTATATCCTTGAAGGCTGCTTATTACAAAGAAATGCAGTAGAGGACATTGAGAACAAAAAGATAAATCCACACATGATAAAAGGATATTTCTCAAGATTAGCCATCAGTGTTATCATTTTAAAGGAGAGAATCAGGGAACTTTCTTTTTCCTCAGATACACCATGGTGGTTGAATAAATAATAGAAAATGTCATAGTAGGAAGTCAGATCAAAGAGAAATTCAAATAGATTTATTTATTCTTTTGAGAAAATAAGGAAGCAGTGATTCCTTTCATGGCCTTTATGATATTTCATTATGAAACTTGATGACCTCAAGTCAGAAATAAACCTTTCATGGAGGAAATGCAGCAGAGTCCAGATAATGGTGTAATTTTGAGCTGGAAGCAAGATATGGCACATCTGCCACTATTGCTGGAGGCCACTTGAATGGGAAAACTGTCTTAGCTAACCTTAAGTAGGGTGTCTTAGCTAAACTCACCAACTGTTCCTGACCAAAGAATTCATGATATAACTTGAAAGGATCCTGCCAGCTGAGTGAGGCTTTTTTCTTGTAGACTGTATGAGGCATGTCTTACTGACATGAATGTTTTCAAAATAAAATGAAGAGGCATAATAACCCCATATTCACAATTCTTTTCTTTCCACAGGGATTATCAGCATAGAAAGAAGGCCTTGTAACCATCAAGTAGATTCACCTCCAACGGTAAGGCCTCTTTTTACATTGTTATAACTGTAAAAAACTATAGAATGATGCTGGTTACAGTGACACAAAGCACCGTTGTAGAAAACTCTTATGACTTCCTTTTGGTAAAAAGTATGTCCCTGCAGGGAAATTAATGTCATGTTTTCCAAATAATGAAGAAAACTTTGTAATTTTTGTAAAGATATAGGAAAATAAGATACAGTATTTTTACAGGTATTTATTTATACCTTAAAGTAGCTTACAGTTTTGGCAAAGTGCTTTTTTTTAAAATGAGTGCTATTTCATACACTAGTACTATTTACAGTGAACGTTGTATGACACCGAAAGAATGCCATTAGTGCTTCATTTCTCTTACTAAAGTAAAATCTTATTTTTTATTCCTCTTCTGTTACTAACAGACAACAAAAGCACTTAATTATTTACGATATTAAAAATACGTATTGTAAAAGGAAAACAACTAGATTTCCCTTTTAATCTCTGGGTATATTTGTGTGAAATATACATCATTTTCTGGTTTCCAGTTGAAAGATTCATAAAACTTGAGTACATCTTAACCTTTCCTTCAATATAATGTTCTTATTCTGTCTATACAATAAGTCTTTGTAGTGCTTCATTCAATTCATTGTTTCTTGTTATGAAAAAATTTTTATTCAGTAATATATTTTTCAGGAAAATAAAGATAATGTTAAACTTTATTTGAATTTTATTGATGATTAATAATTGCCTCACTAGAAAGTTGACTCTATTTTCTGTTTGTAATAAATCCACACAACTGATTGATATACCAGAGTTGATAACTTAATGTATGATGCTCCAGAAAAGACTAGTTTATCAGAAATTTAGTCATCAGCATAATCATAAAAATTACTTTGCTATAATATGGGTTTCAGTTATCTTTTAGTAAGTATGCTAAAAGAGTAGACATAATATTATGTAGTTTTTACTCTTTAATGTTAAAAAAATACAGATTAGCAATTAAGAAATTTATGTTTAATATATTTGAATAATATACTCCATCATTGAATTATTTTACATACTTCCAAAATTCACTTTATTCTTATAAGCTTTCCTGTGTCCATGTGCTTACATTCTTATTTGTTTATACATTCAGGAACTCAGAAAAGTAAAGCCTGGCAGTTTTCTGTTACACCCTCTAGGCTGATTGTAAATTCCTAGGTTTTTAAATGATGAAGTAATAGAGCCTAATTCACATGAACTCATAAGAAATAATGGTATTGATATCTATAATAGTGACAATAATTGCAAAATTACTCCATGAATTAGGAACTAAATGTAAAGCATAATAGTTTAGATATTGCTTGTCTTTTTTATTATGTTTTTCCAATTGGGTTAGGAATTGATAACTTCTAATTTATTAATACTATTCCTACTCTAGACAATCAATGAGTTGTTTTTGTTTTTGTTTTAATTTTGTTTTTTGCAATGGTGAGAATCCAACCCAGGGCCTCATGCAGGTTAGGCTAGCACTCTACCACTGAGCTGTACCCCAAGCCTTGATAAGTTTTAATGTATTTCATGTTTGCATGCATTCCCCAAACACCCATTAGTTCCCCAAGTTTTCACTTGAGTCCAGGTTAATTTTGATGTGTATTTCTCAGGTGGGTCTATACTTCTCCTTCTCTCTCTTTACTACCATCTAAGGTGTTCTACCCATCCTTCACAGTCCCGTCCCTCAGTTTGCTGACAGTTCACCTTGTCCCTTTCTCCAAAACCTCTGAGTGGAGTCACAAGTCCACTCATTACCCAATGCACCCATGTCTGCTGGACAGGTAAAGTCTGATTTTCACAGAAATATAATTATACTAAATGTTTAGAGTAAGGGAGAGGAAGGAGTCCCTCAGGAAATTGAACAAAGTGAGATATCTGTAATCCCAAACTTTGTGCTATCCTGGTCTGAAAAGGAGAAGAGTCAATTCACTCATTGAACCTGAGGGGGGGAAAAAAAAACAGAAAGAGAGTTGGCCAGGATTTCAGTGTCTGAGACCAGGCTCCTGACTAACTTCCTGACTGTGTATCTAACCCCTCAGTTTCCAGGTTACTTGTTTACCCATTATCACTCCCTCTTCCCTCTTGCTCCAAGTACTCTAGGGAATGGCTTATGTCTAGGAGAGTGTTAAATGCCAATTGCAGTTATTCACCAAGTGAGGGAAATAAATAAGAATTTCTCAAGCCTCTGTTTTAGGGAATGGTGTGTTCCTTGATAGTTCAAGTTAGAATTCTAAATGGACTATTCAGTAAATATATGGTTATAGGGGATAGTTTGAGCATATAGTGCTATAATATAATAGCAGTGACCCTTAAGTAAATATAGATTAGCCTGAGAACAAAACCACCTCTGTCCTTTTGTTCTGTGTTTGCTCTCTCTTTAATTTACTTCTTTTTTGTATTTTATTTATTACTTGAACTTTGAATGTGTTTTCTTTTTGACATAAATAGTAGCCTGCCTGTTTTGAGATGTCTTTAATAGAAAGTGGAAAAGAATATCCCCACTTGATATGAGCTTATCCATCAAAATGAATCAAACTTCTCTTTTTAACTGGGTATGGTCCCCTCTTTTTTGCATCCTGAGCTCTTAATTTTGTTAATATCCTAGAGTACATTTTTCAAATTGTTTTTTCAAGAAATATAAAATGGGAGATGAATTATCTACATATATAGTTAAAATATATCAGTTCTCTTTGCATAAGGCCAATTTTTTATTATTTTGACATTACCTATTTGCCTAAAAACATTGTAGAAATTGGTCATCTTTGCCCTCTGATATTTAGTGTTGCAGTAGAAACACTAGATATCAGCTGTATGAATATGAATATTCTTTTGTACAAATAACCTGTTCAGCCTGTTCATCTATTATAGATTTTATTTTCTTCCGACCTAATGTCCTGTTTCAGATTTAATGGCCAACAGGGTAACCACCTTCTCACTGACTTTTTCCCTTGGTAATTTTCACCCAGATGCTATACTGTTAAGAGGAAATGTAAATAAGACATGAGACAATTACAATATTAGAATTAAATCTTGCCACTTTAAGAACAAGTCCCTGCACCTGCTTATAGGCAGGATTTTATCAGCCTCAGATTAATCAAAGGTCATTGAATCCCAAAAGGCAGGTGTAAAAGTTAGTTAATAGTTAAATCAGTTCAGGTTTGAGAACTGTATTTACTTTAAATGAGGGACTTATTTGCAAATCAAAGAGAAAGCACAACTAGCATAAGGAAATGTTTCCCAAGTTAAAACATACCTGCCCTTTAATGTATAATCATATGCATAGCAGAGTCCACAGCTTTCATGTTTTCTGACATAATTAATATGCCTATAAGACATTAAAACATAGTAAACCATGCTGAATATAAAGCATTCTTTTTAAAAAATATTTATTTTTTAGTTATAGATGGACACAACATCTTCATTTTATTGTTACGTGGTGCTAAGGATCGAACCCAGTGCCCCACACATGGTAGGCAAGCACTCTATCTCTGAGCCACAACCCCAGCCCCTATAAAGCATTCTTAGTGATTTGTGGAGTATTGTTTTTGAATCTCTTTTTTTAAAATATTTATTTTTTAGTTATAGGTGAACACAATATCTTTATTTTATTTTTATGTGGTGCTGAGGATTGAACCCAGTGCCTCACGTATGGTAGGCGAGCACTCTACCTCTGAGTCACAACCCCAGCCCCATTGTTTTTGAATCTCTTCCAGTGAAAACTGATATAGTAAATTCAGATTATATCAGTATGGCCTAATTTAAGTGATTGTTTAAATTTTTGTAAATTTTCTACATTTCATATCTGTAACACTTAACGAATATTACTCATTATTCTTAATCTATTCAGTGATGCTATGACACCTATTAGAACAATTTTTCTATTTAACAAATGAATTTTTGGCACTTTATAAAAATACAGCTTGCACTTTCACAGACGCCTCCATATCTACCACAATAGTTCAAATAAAATCCAGACTGTCTGAATTTTACCATGATTTTATCAAGATTATACCAAATGTGGAATACTTGCTGTTTGTCTAAGTCTTCCCTTATTATTAGGATTTAAAATGTCCTTGCTTCATTTGTAATTTAAATATTGATTTATTATTATTTTTTTGCTATAAGACCAATTTTTCAAGCCTTTAGCACATTCATTCTGCAGTTATATCCCTTCTAACGGCTGACTGGTAATTTTTTTCCTATAATGTATTAGTTGTAAATATGTATAGACTTAATTTGTCACCTTGAAACTATTTCTAAATGATCATGATGTTGCTTGCCCTTAACACTAAATTTATTCATAAAGGTACCGATCTGAATCATATAAGTTAAATTTCATTCTGAATCTCTTTTAGATTACAAGAGATCTGTGCTGAATCACAGCCTTTGGGACAGAAGTCCCCTGTGATTCTCCTTTGCAAAGCAGTAGTCCTTCTTTTTCCTTTTTCTCCCGAAAAAAATAAGAAGATATTTGTGCTTTTTTGCATCATTTTGAGTTATTGTTAGATTATTATCATTGTTTTGTCCTTTCTTCAGGTTCTCAACATTGCTGTATACTGCAGTTTTACACGTGTTTAACATACTTTATATATAATTTATGTAAATGTGGCTGTTTCATATTTTAATATAATATTTGGGACAGCTTGTTTATGGATAAATACATGAATTCAAGTGAAATGTCTTCAAAGGGTACACTTTATTTTCTCCAATCTAGCATTTTCCAGGAATTCATAATATATAAACTGGGGTGAATGTACCCCTATAAAACTCATAAAATAGAACCATGTCCAATCTCTTCCTGTAGGTAATTGCAGGGTGGGGAGGGAACCCATAAACTCTAAGCTTTTATAACTTAAGTCATAAAAGAACCTGTTTCACTTATCAATAAAGTAACAATTCAAAGCAGTTCCATTGAAATTCAAATATAAATGCAAAATATATTCTTTTTTAAGGTGACTTATAGTTATTCATACTATGACATTTTTCTTAAG